AAGAAACAGCTTTGCTCCATGATTTGACTTTGAAATATGTTCCACAGCTGGAACAGCTTCCTTAGGCAGTCTTGAGCCTATCTCAAACTGCTTCGGTCTGTGAAATAACTTGAAATAACGGAAACTTTATTGTTCAAATGGTCTCAATAGAAAGAGTTACACTTTTTTGCCATCTGATTAGCTCTATGATTTAACTTGAAGTTTTTCAAAGTATCATAGCTTGAATTGCTTTAATCTGAAATTTTTCACATATTTGCAACATGGCTCATGAAAACTCTCAAGTATTTCAAAGATTAACAGCTAGAATACATAGCTTAGAAAAGCAGAATCTGGTTCGCATCATGCAATTACTTGAAAGATTGTAGTTTTTCTTTTATTGAATAGTTTGTTTGAACAACTAAAAGAAACAGTTTTGCTCCATGATTTGACTTTGAAATATGTTCCACAGCTGGAACAGCTTTCTTAGGCAGTCCTGAATTTGTCGCAAACTGATTCGGTCAATGAAGTAACATGGAATATTTGAAGTTTCATCCCTCAAATGGCTTCATTGAAAATAGTTAGTATTTTTCCATCCGATTATTTCTAAAAAATAATTTGAAGTATTACAAAGAATCAAAGCTTCAATTGCTTCAACCAAGTTTTCACGTTTTTGCAAAACATTTCAGTCTAGGGAAAACTTGAAGTGTTTCAAAGGTTGTCTCTAGAATATCTTGCTTGAAAAAGGGCAGTTCGGTCGCTTCATAGAATGACTCAAACTATTTCAAATTTTCAATCAATGAGTAGCTTCTTGAAAAAATTAACAGAAACAGTTTCGCACCATGAGATGATTTTGAAATAAGTTTCATAGTTAGGTTATCTTGCTTAGAAAGTCTTGAACTTGTCGCACACTGATTCAATTTATGAATTAATTTGAAATATTTGAAGTTTCAGTGTTTAAATGTTTTCAATTGAAAAAAATTCACTTTCTTTCCATCTGATTAGCTTTATGATTTAAATATGAAATTTTACAAAGTATCTTAGCTGGAATTGCTTATACTGAAATTTTTCAGGTTTTTTGCAAAACGATTCAGTCTAAGAAAGCTTAGAAAAGCAGGATCCGATTCTTGCAACTAATTGAAATTTATTAACTTTTCAGTCAATGTGTAGCTTGCTTGAACAACTAACAGAAACAGTTTTGCTCCATGATTTGTTTTGAAATATGTTCCACAGCTGGAACAGCTTTCTTAGGCAGTATTGAGCCTTTCTCAAACTTCTTCGGTCTGTGAAATAACTTGAAATAACGGAAATTTTATTGTTCAAATGGTCTCAATAGAAAGAGTTACACTTTCTTTCCATCTGATTAGCTTTATGAATTAATATGAAATTTTACGAAGTATCATAGCTGGAATTCTGAAATTTTTCAGGTTTTTGCAAAACGATTCAGTCTAATAAAGCTTAGAAAACCAGGATCCTATTCATGCATTTATTTGAAATTTATTAACTTTTCAGTCAATGTGTAGCTTGCTTGAACAACTAACAGAAACAGTTTTGCTCCATGATTTGTTTTTGAAATATGTTCCACAGCTGGAACAGCTTTCTTAGGCAGTCTTGAGCCTATCTCAAACTGCTTCGGTCTGTGAAATAACTTGAAATAACGGAAATTTTATTGTTCAAATGGTCTCAATAGAAAGATTTACATTTTTTCCCATCTGATTAGCTCTATGAATTAACTTGAAGTTTTTCAAAGTATCATAGCTTGAATTGCTTTAATCTGAAATTTTTCACATATTTGCAACATGGCTCATGAAAACTCTCAAGTATTTCAAAGATTAATAGCTAGAATACATAGCTTAGAAAAGCAGAATCTGGTTCGCTTCATGCAATTACTTGAAAGATTTTAGTTTTTCTTTAATTGAATAGTTTGTTTGAACAACTAGAAACAGTTTTGCTCCATGATTTGACTTTGAAATATGTTCCACAGCTGGAACAGCTTTCTTAGGCAGTCCTGAATTTGTCGCAAACTGATTCGGTCAATGAAGTAAGATGAATTGTTTGGAGTTTCATCCCTCAAATGGCTTCATTGAAAATAGTTATTATTTTTCCATCCGATTATTTCTAAAAAATAATTTGAAGTAATACAAAGAATCAAAGCTTCAATTGCTTCAACCAAATTTTCACGTTTTTGCAAAACATTTCAGTCTGGGGAAAACTTGAAGTGTTTCAAAGGTTGTCTCTAGAATATCTTGCTTGGAAAAGGGCAGTTCGGTCGCTTCATAGAATGACTCAAACTATTTCAAATTTTCAATCAATGAGTAGCTTCTTGAAAAACTTAACAGAAACAGTTTCGCACCATGAGATGATTTTGAAATAAGTTTCATAGTTAGGTTATCTTGCTTAGAAAGTCTTGAACTTGTCGCACACTGATTCGATTTATGAATTAATTTGACTTTGAAATATGTTCCACAGCTGGAACAGCTTTCTTAGGCAGTCCTGAATTTGTCGCAAACTGATTCGGTCAATGAAGTAAGATGAATTGTTTGGAGTTTCATCCCTCAAATGGCTTCATTGAAAATAGTTATAATTTTTCCATCCGATTATTTCGAAAAAATAATTTGAAGTAATACAAAGAATCAAAGCTTCAATTGCTTCAACCAAATTTTCACGTTTTTGCAAAACATTTCAGTCTGGGGAAAACTTGAAGTGTTTCAAAGGTTGTCTCTAGAATATCTTGCTTGGAAAAGGGCAGTTCGGTCGCTTCATAGAATGACTCAAACTATTTCAAATTTTCAATCAATGAGTAGCTTCTTGAAAAACTTAACAGAAACAGTTTCGCACCATGAGATGATTTTGAAATAAGTTTCATAGTTGCTTCAACCAAATTTTCACGTTTTTGCAAAACATTTCAGTCTGGGGAAAACTTGAAGTGTTTCAAAACTGATTTGGTCTCTGAAACGACTTCAGTTATTTGAAGTTTCATTGCTTAAATGTTTTCAATTGAAAAAAATTCACTTTCCTTCCATCTGATTAGCTTTATGAATTAATATGAAATTTTACAAAGTATCATAGCTGGAATTGCTTATACTGAAATTTTTCAGGTTTTTTGCAAAACGATTCAGTCTAAGAAAGCTTAGAAAAGCAGGATCCGATTCATGCAATTAATTGAAATATATTAACTTTTCAGTCAATGTGTAGCTTGCTTGAACAACCAACAGAAACAGTTTTGCTCCATGATTTGTTTTTGAAATAAATTCCATAGCTGGAAGAGCCTTCTCAGAAAGTCGTGAATTTGTCGCCAAATGATTCGGTCTATAAAATAACCTGAAATATTCGAAGTTCCATTCCTTTAATGGCTTCAAAAGAAATAGTTGTTTGCCATCCGATGGCCTCTATGAATTAATGTGAAGTATTGCAAAGAATCAAAGCTTCAATTGCTTCAGCCAAAACTTTCAGGTTTTTTTTGCAAATAGATTCAGTCTAGAAAAAACTTGCTTGAAAATTTAGCTTGCTTGAAAACTATTAAAAACAGTTTTGCACCATAAGTTGATTTTGAAAACTTTCAACGCTTCATAGCTGGAACAGCTTGCCTAGAATGTCTTGAAAATGTCGCAAACTGATTTGGTCTCTGAAACGACTTCAGTTATTTGAATGTCGTAGCTTAAATGGTTACAATAGAAATCATTAAACATTTTTCATCTGATTCGCTACTTGAATTAATTAAGAATATCTCAAAGTTTTAATATCTGGGGTAGCTTGCTTAGAAAATTTTAGCATTTTTAAATTTGCTCCTAATGTTTAATTCGTGAGATAACTTGAAGTGTATTAAAGTTTCATAGCTTGAATAGTTTGATCAGAACAAAAGCTAGCTTTTTGCGATGTGATTAATCATAGTAGACGGGCTTGCTAGTTTAATTTAAATGAAAATTGAAAAGATAATAATAATTTTTTGCTCAGTTTTATAACTACTTGCAGTTTTAGCTGTCAAAATATTGCCAAACAAATAGTGGCAGTGTCAAAAAAAACAAATCATCTGAACTGATTATTTTTTGACAGGGCCGCTATCTGTATTTAATCCTAAATTACTTCACGGACAATGCGTTTTCAAAACAGAAATTGTCGACATCTCTCATTTTTATATAACCGAAATAATATTGAAAAGAGAAATTTTTAGGTTTTTGAAGCCATTCTATTTGCAAAAGGCATCAAAAATTTGCCAAGTTTTGATGATACATGCTTTATGTTTGATTCGTTTTTCACGCAAGTTCTTGCATTTTTATTGAATTTTCACTGCAATGCGTGCTGAAGAACCTGCTAAGAACGCCTTTTTTGGCCTGTTTTTTTTTCAAAAATCTGCTTGCGGCTTAGAAAATTATGTCAAATTAGGGTTTTTCTAGTGGTTTCGGAGAGCTCAGAAAATGAATTTGGTCGGCTAAAAAAAAGGTGACAAAATTTTCGAAGTTTTTTGAAAATCCGCCCCTGTATGTAAGTATAGTCTCAATTGACCTGCCACAATACTCATGATTTTTTTTACTTATAAGAGTTGGTTTTCACTGATCTGCTTGTTTTCTCGACATTTCTTCAGACAGAGTCTAGATAGCAACCAGTAGAAATTCTTCGTTTCGCGCTTCAAGCTTAGGGTAACTTCTGAAAAATTGAAGCTATACAGTGACAATAACAAAGAAGTAATTCAAATAGCAATGAACATTCCGCATGCAACTACCATTTTGAATCAAATTTTTCTCAGAACTTGAAAAATTTTTCAAATGAACTTTTCTTGAAAATTTTTCCGAACGGTTATACTGGTCAACTCACGACTAAAAGTGCTGCTGTAAGATGTATCGCAACCATTTTTGAAATGTTAGGACTTGCTTTTGCTTGGAAAAAAGGAACCAAGTTTACAGTTCGTTTGTCATCTAAATTTACACTTTTTTATCTAAAGAAAACTTTATCGGGATAAACGATAAAGAGAGAAGTAGTCTATTTGGTTTTAATGCATAAGGATAAAACGTTTGAAATGTTTTTAGACAGCAGAGTCTGAAAGAATTAATGATCGGAGCTCGTCACCTTAACCCAGAAAACGATATAGAGTCTTCAAACTATAATCTCAAAAAACGAAACTCTCATTTCAGCCAAGAATTTCTTGGTAAAAAAACTAAATCACACAATTTCAAGTCCAAAAATAAGATTAAAATGAGCCAGAGTAGATTCGGAGACGTCGGAAGTGCGAAAAGAGATAGGCTGATGGAAAGATTCCTGGATGACTGCAATGCAGACAGCTCAGCCAGACTAGAAAAGAGCGGCGTTCCGAAGGGAGGCGATCAACCGGTTACAGAGACGACTGCAGCTTAGACACAAATCGAAATTAGATTTCAAATTTAATTTTTTCTCACAATTTTTCTATTTATTTAATATTGAGCGTTTTCTTGCCGCATCTAACGTAGTCTCTTTTCAAGAAACTATTGAAAGAGAACTGGAAAAAAATCGTACGCTATATATCCAATGTTGATGAAACAAAATACGTTTGTGTAATTCACCTTGTAGAAGTTTCTCTTTCATCAGTTGGCAACTAATTGAGTTTTACTTAATAAAAATTTTAAAAATATTGGCTCAAACTTAATTTTCCTGATATTAATTAATTAAACAGAGAGAAAGTTGTTAAAAAACTCATATCAATAAAGATTTTAATTGGTAGTTGAGTTCCTATAACATAATGATGAAAAAAAGCATTTCTTGCAGAAAAAAATAAACAAAAATACTTATACAATGGTTGGTTTTTCCGCATAATTTTTTCTGCTGTAACTAAAATGACTTTTACAGGCATAACATTTTATGCTACATTGATCATATTGATACTCTGAAATCCAAATCAGAAAAACTTTTCACCTGATACATTGCGATGCCAAGCTCGGGTACTTTGGTAATGGTTTGGATTCCGCATACATTGCCCCTGGAATCCGCATCAATTCCGTTGGATTCCGCAACAGTTCGAAAAGCCTTTGAAATCGAAAAGCTGATGGAATCGAAGAACTGGAATTGGGATGGAAGTGAAACGAATCAGAAGTGAAGCAAATGATGGAAGTGAAGCAAATGAGATAATTAACCTCTCATTTTTTTCCGCAAGTCCTTTTTTCCAATTCAATTACCTTTTAATTAACCATCTTTTTCTTCTTCCTTTTACCCCTTGCTGGGAGTGCGACTGGACAGGGCGTTTTTCCCTCAGCAATTAGGACAATTGTCTCAGAGTCTGAAGGGGATTATAACTTGAGGAAACTTATCTCACTCGTTCGATTCAAAATTAATACTGAATAACATACATTAATTGAAATAATACTAAACAAATAATTCACCTAATTAAACTAAAGCAAAAAAGAGAAAATTATTCTAGGAGTGGTCAGGATTTGAACAAAAAAATTCGTTCTTATGGTCGCATCATCTAACCAATAGACCAACTGGCCTTTCTTGATGTGTTCTCTCACAACATTTCAGCTCAACTGGTTAAACAGAAAGTTGAAGCAGCACTAAAAGCTAGATGCAGCATAGACAAGCTGCATCAGAAGCTGGATAACATACAGCGGAAATGCGTTTGATTACAATTAACACTTATATTTATTAGTACAAGTACTAAACGGTACTCAGTGGACTAGCACAGTTGGTTAAGCAAATGAGCCAAAGTAATAAACTATAAGTGGATTTACAAGGAGCAGGTTCGGCTCATACCGTAGTTGCTCCAGAAGCCATCACCGCCTTATCGCACTTTCGTCCAGCTCCACGAGGATCCGGAAAATGAGGATCAAACGAGGTTCCTTAAAATAGTTGACACGGCGCCAAAAAGGCCCATTCACCGACAAGGTTAGAAGCTCACCAGCTCTTGTTGACCTTTTTTAAATTATTTTTACTGTGCTTTTACTCTAACCAATTAGTATCCTAACTGCTTTTGTTTTCAACCAAACCGAAATGCTCTTTTTGGTACAGTTTTTTAAAATGATGAACCTAATGAAGACTCTTAAATAGGTCTTGCTGATTTTTTTTTGTGTTTTTTCAGGAAAAAGTCTAAGAGTAAAAATACACTAAAAATGCAGATGTGCATCCATAAATAAAGAAGCACTTTTGAATTCACCTAGGTATATGTACTTCTTAAGAGTAATGAACTCACTGAAGAATCTTAGATCTTTTGATTTTTTTTGTTTTTTTTTCAGCTAAATTCTTGAGATTTTGATGCTTTTAAGTATATATGCAGCTACTGAGTTAAATTTAAATTCATCTGCTGAAAATGACGTAAAAAGCACTCTCCAAATACGAACGTGGAAATGGCGCAAACGTGAACGGTTTCTAGTTTCGAAAGTGGAATTCAATTTTTAGATTTCCAGCGGAATAAAAACTTTACCTGTTGATGCAGTTGTCTCAAGTGTTACCAAAAAAACGCCTATCTTAAATCGTTCTGGAAATTAAAAAAGGTCGAAGAGCATCTGCTTTTGCTTTGAAATTTGAAAGTTGAGGTTGTTTCAACATAATTAAACTTTGTCTAGCTACAAGTAAGACTACGGAATTTTTCTATAAAAATATTCTAGAAATCTGCAATTGTTTTAATCAGCCAGCCAACTATATTTGCTATATTTGTGAGTGAAGTTGTTTTTGATGCTCAGAAACATTTGGTGGGTTGTGGAGGGGCAGTTGTCTCAAATGCCGAGAAAAATTTGGTGGGTGGTGTGGGTAGTTAACTCAAATGCTGAGAAAACTTTGTTGGGAGAGGCGACAATTGTCTCAAATGATAAAGTCTTCAAAAACTCTCATAAACAAACTATATTGCAGATTGGCTATACAACTTCGCTTGCTGGTCGAAAATGCAAAGTGACTCATCTCGGCATTCTTACGAGCTTCTGCCATTTTGGCCTCTCTGAAAAGTGAAGATTTCTTAAAGGTAATGACTGTGACATTTTTTAAACTTTACATTTTAATTTCCACAGTGCTCAGTTTTCAATCTGCATAGTTTTTAGACCAAAAAATGTGACTTTGAAAAAAAGAACGTCCCATTTGCCAAATTTTGGCAATTTTTTCTGCAATCAAAAGACCGGTTGGTAGCATGCGAAAGAAAAAAATGTCATTGTTTTCGAACTGCTCCGGCAACCGATGTTTCGAGAAGAGTGACTAGAATCAACTGCAAATCTTTGTGTGACAGGTTTTTAGGAAGAACAAAACCGGGTGTTTGGGGATGTCTCCAATCGTGGAATTTAGTTCTTGGTCAGAAATAGGACCTGTTACCAGCACTAACAGGCGTGATGAACACGCCGATCAAAACTTTCGGTTTCACCGAACACACAGATTTTTTGATTCGAACAGTTTTCTGTCACACTACTGCCTTTGATGGTCGGTAAGCTATGGAGAAAAAACTATAGAGATGTATATTTGAGCAATATGGTATCAATCAAGGCTACTAATATGATGATTTAAACTCTGAAAACTTTAATCATGAAGATCTATACTTTGTTATAACTAACTCGTATAAGATTTTTGTCATGGTATTTGATATTGCTTATTATTTGTCGATTTCTCAAGCATAACTAAAATTTTGTCATAATTTTTTTAATTAACAGTTCATGCGGTTTCTTTGTACGGATCCTAAATAGGGAGATTCTGCAGTTACAAAACTCTCATATACTTAACCGGTGATTTAGTTTTTTATAGAAGGGGATTCGTTAATAGGTACCCGAGTGGGAATAAAGTTGAGTGGATCCACGGGTTCGTAGCTTAACAGAACTGAAACGAGCATGAACTCTGAACTTCGAACTCCGAACTACCTTTGTCATGGTCGGTGTTTGTGTTCCTGCTTTTCATTTGTATAAGGTTTTTATTTCACTTCCTTACGGCTGCATGAATTTGGTAAACCAACTACAATTTGTTCAACTATATCCGTTCATATCCGTTACTCTATTTGGTTTTTTAAAAAGCATCGATTATGATATTATTTATGAGCCATTAGCATTTAACGTTTACCAAAGCATAATATGGCATCAATTGCTGTATCAGACATTTGAAAACATGCTTTCTAAAGAATTCAATTACACACTTTCCACCAATTCCAATATTTCATCGGTTTTCAAAAACTGTTGCTGTTTATTTTTAGAGAAAATTTTTAATACAAAGTGAGACCTTCACCTTAAATCAAATCCTATAATGAACACGGTATAATGTCATAAATTAAAAAAACTTCCTATCAACATTAAAAAAAGTGCAAAGCATTCGGTCCAAACAATCTATGATGCCAGCCCATTTTTGATCAGCGCATGAGCTGTTCCACCGATAAATGTTTTAGTTTGAGTGAGGATTATGGCAATTATTTTTACAATCCCATAAAATAGCTTCAAGTGTGGTGTTTAATCATTCCACGCAAGATTGGTCACGACTAAATAGCTTCAAGTAGGAAAGCTGGTATGCTGTGAATTAAGTCGCAGAATTATCAGAGCTAACACTTGTTCGTACCGGCTCTGATAGTTCTGCAAACTGATTCGAAGTATGCACCAATCGTAACTTGAACCTTATTTAGTCGTGATCGCTAATCCATCTTGATGAAACAAGAAAAAAAAACTCCTACAAAAACAAGTAAATTCCTAAAATTCCGCTTAGCCGAGTTAAACTTTATGAGCCAATAAAGCTTTATGAACCAATAAAACATTTTGAATAATTTTTTTGATAACCTAAGGTAATTTTATAATGACTTATGTTATTTAAACTATAGTCCAATTGTTTCATTCTATAATTTGAATAGAGTTTCTTGAGAGGGGTGTAGCGATTTAGCATGTGAGTCTTTTAGCATGCGTTAATTGCTTTAACTCTTTGACCAAAAATAGGTTTGCGTAAAGTTTCATACAAATTCGAAAAAAAAATTATTTTGAAATATCAATTATGTGAAAAAAATGTGACTGAGGCAATTTCAAAAGAGTAGAATATTTTACCTAAGTTTTGAAAAAGCTTAAATCGATCAATTGTGGTCATGTTTAACAACAAAAACAAAAAGCGGCAGTTTTCCCAAGCTTCTGACCTTAGCCACCGCGTTATAGCTGCTCCGTATAGTTACACCGGAAGAAGTAAAACGTATAACTTATATGTTACTAGGACATTTTATTTAGGACATTTTAACTCCCCCCAGCATTCAAGACAATTATCTTAACTGCTGAGGGGGGAAACGGCCCCCTCAGCAATTAAAACAATTTTCTTAAATGGGGGGTTGGAGTTAACCAGGAATGAACTTCGAACTTCTCTTATTAGCGAAAAAGGGGGATCCCGCGGTCAATTTAAGGTTTTTGTCACTGGATTCCACTGTTTGTCAGTGGATTTCAAAGCCAATTTTTCCTTCTGTCACTGAATTCCTCAAGCACATTTTTACCAGTTGCATGATTTATATATAAAGTAATAAACGTATCCTCTCCAGCTTTGCAAATTTCCTTTCAAATTAGAAGTAAGAAGACACAATAAATGCAAATGAGACAATTTTAACAGC